AGCTGGGTTGTACTGGATGCAAAGGATCAGGGAGAGGCAAGGTAAGCCTCAGAGCCCCAGAAAGAGGCTGTCAGCCCCAGAAAGAGGCTGGTGGGTGTTGCAGGATCAGAAAGCAGAGAGAGGTGGGGGCAGGGCCGGGTCTAGAGGCAGTGCTCCTGGGGCCCAAGGAAGGCACCAAGCCCGTGGGGGTGAACAGGGTCAGGAATCAGCAGTGGCTCCCCAGGTGTCTGGGGCCCCAAGACTAGGAATGGCACAGGGCCCAAGCTAGGAGTAGAGAACAGCGGGGGAGATGGAAGGGTGAGCGAGGCTGGCGGAGTCAAGCTGCGGAGCGCTGCAAGGTTGACTTACCCCGAGAGAGGCCTGAGGGCAGGAGAGCGGGCCGGGAGAGCGCTAATTGAATTTTTAAATTCCAAATATCTGTTGGCGCTAAAAAAACTTAGATTGAAAGGGTAGAAACCAGTTCGCCAACAAAATGGAAATCCCAGACAAGCTTAAATAGCTGCTATGATGGATGATAAAGGAGATTTCACATCAAAATTTGTCAGAAGAGACAAACAAGGCAAGTAAATATTAATAAGAAAGCAATTTATTAAGAAGATATACAGTTTCTGAAAGATACTGAAGTTTGGGTCTGCAAATTTCATAAAGCAAATATTAATGAGCGTAGACTGACACACAGGTCTTGATACACTATTTATTAAGTTCAATACTTGCAAACTGAATTTAAGAAAGCATCCAAAATATCATTTAGCATGACCAAGTTGGCTTCATTCCATGGACGTTGGGAAAATTCAACATCGGTAAATCAATAAATGTAATTTCAAATATAAATGGACTCAAGGACAGAAATGAAAATCCAACATCCCTCCGTGGTGAGAAACCTTAGAGTTTAGGAATGGGGAAGACATACCTCAGCATAATAAAGGCTGTCAGTGAGAATCTGACAGCCACCATCCTGTTAAATGGAGAAAAATTTGAAGCATTTTCAGTAAGATCAGTAATGAGATAACAGTGTATACTTTGACAATTCAATGTAGTACTTGAGGCCCTAGTTAGATCAGTAAAACAAGGAAAGGAAATAAAAGGGATGCAAACAGGAAAGAAAGAAGTCAAAGTATCCCTATTTGCAGATAACATGATTCTGCACATGAGAAAGCCTCCCCGCAGACACTCTATCAAAAAACTCCTAGAGCTGATAAACATGTTCAGAAAGGTGGCAGTTTACAAAAGTAACATACTAAAATCAGTAGCCTTCCTAAATACCAAAGACAGACTGAGAATGAAATAAAAAAGCAATTCCATTTACAACAGCATCGGGGTGGGAGTGTGGGTGGAATATACCTAATCAAGGAGGTGAAAGACTTATACAATGAAAAATTTAAAAATAACTGAATAAAAAAATTGAAGACATCAGAAGATGGAGAGGCTTCCAGTGAATGTGAATTGGTGAGGGAATAGTAGATCACAGGAGATATGAAGGGAGAACAGGGAGTCATGGGGAGGATTAGTGCAGGGAGGAACTGAGACATTAGGACAGAGGAGCAGGTGGGGCGAGGTATTACTAATACTCAGACTATAAGGAGGGTGCTATATTTTGTCAAATAAAAAGCCAGTTTCGGGTGTGGAATACTTCCTCTTGAGTTGTTGATCAGGACTATCTTAGAGATGACCAAAATAAAACAGGTTATTGCCACTACTCTTGCTTCCCCTCCAGAGATTGATAGCAAGAGCTTATTGCTGGTCATTACATGCTTTGGACACAGGACATGGAGAAATCATATTGGTACTGACCAGGAAGCTTGCTCCCTGCTGGCTAGCTTTCATAGGTGCTATCCAGTCTGCTGAAGGAAGAAAGTCATCAGCAGCCTCACCCAGCTTTGAACCTTGGGGGCTACAGTAACACCAGTATGACAGGATGAGCCAGTGGCTGAAATACTGGCACACATGTAATGAAGTGGCCGACCATTTTCCAATTAGATTTAAGGCAAACTCTACAGGAGAAAACATATTCCTGGTACTGCAAATTTGGCCAAGAATCCATGGTTAGTGAGTTCACAGGTACCAAGGATGAACCTACTATTACTTTTTTGCTAAATGGACAGTTTCAAACTGCCCTCTAAATTCTTATCTCTAGACACATAGATTAGTGAAGCTCTCAGGTCCCATCAAAGAAGTTTCACTGTGCAGTGGACGGTGGTGAGCACAAAAATGCACAACTGGTCAATGTGAAGACAACAGCCAGGTGTAGTGGCACACACCTTTGACCCCAGCACTCAGGAGGCAGAAGCAGGCAGATCTCTGTGAGTTTGAAGCTAGTCTGCTTTACATAACAAGATCCAGGCCAGCCAGGGTTACATAGTGAGACCCATCTCAAGAAACCAAACCAAACCAAAACAAAACAAAACAAACAAAAAGAAAACAGAATTAATTTGGGCTGGAGATGTGACTCAGTAGTTAACAGCATGTACTGCCCTTCTAGAGGACTAGGGTTCAATTCCCAGCATCCATGTCAGGCAGCTCTCCATCACCAGCAACTCCAGCTCCTGGAGGATCTGACACCTCGGTTTCTGTGGGCACCTGCACTCATATTCACATACCCACACAGAGACACACACATATACACACAATTAAAATTCCCTTCATGGTGGAAGTCCTGAAGACCCTGGCAATAGAAAGAACCTCAACATAATAAATTTTATTATAAATGAGGAGATCTGTAAACATTTTCTCTGAACTTAGGAACAAGACAAGCATGTCAGACATTCCTTTTTATTCAGTGTAGTGGCTGGTGTTTTAGAGCCGTAGGCAAGAAAAATAAATAAAAGGAATATAAATCAGAAAGGGAGAAGGTAAATTATCCTTACGTACAGATGACATGATCCAGCACTTAAAGGACTCTACGGACTCCACCAGGAAATTCTTAGACCTGATAAATTCTTTCAGAAGGTAGCAGGATACAAAATAAACATAAAAATCAGTACGTTTCCTTTATTCATAATTTGTGAAGTTGTCAAGAAAGAAATAGGGAAAAATAATCCAATTCATAATAGCTCTTAAACAAACAAACGAAAACCCTCTAGGAATATACCTAATGAAGGAGGTGAAAGAATTCAACAATGAAAGCTTTGAAACACTGTAGAAATTGAAGAAGACATGAAAAGTTGGAAAGATCTCCAATGTTCATTGATTAGCAGAATTAATATTGTGAAAATAGCTGCATTGATGAAAGCAGTCTATAGATTCAGCATGATCATCATCAAACTTCCAATGCTATTCATCACAGAAATAGAAGAAACAGACCTAAAATCTATATGCGAATATAAAAGGCCCTGAATAGCTGAAGCAGCCCTTAGCAGAAAGAGCAGTGATGTATAGGTAACAGTAACAGAACTCAACTGTGTCATAGAGCCTTAGTTACAAAACCACATGGTGCTAGCACTGAAAACAGACTCATGGAACAGAATAGAGGACACAGAAATAAACTCATAGTTACAGCTACCTGGATACAGTTCTGAAACCAAGAAATACAAACAGATACTAAGTATTTGAAGAAAAGGAGTTTGACCCTTTCAACCATCAGGGCAACCTTAAGTTAAAACATCTGGGTTTCTGCCACATTCCAGTCATGATTACCACCAGCAAGAAAACAAATGACAACACATTCTGGTCAGGATGTAAAGAAAGAGAAACCCTTATCCACTGCTGGTGCAGCGACTGTGGAAATTGGTATGGAGGTTCTCAAAGCACAAGTAACCGAAGCCACAGAGGATCCAGGTGTAAGGCTCCTGGAATATACTGGAAGTCAGCATACCTCAGAAACACTTGCAAGTCTGGGTCTATGGCTGATTTTACAATCACAAAGACAGGGAACTATTCTACATGCCTAGCAACAGATGAATGGATAAAGAAAACAAAGTATACATAACCTATCGAAGTTTACTTAGTTGTAAAAAAGAAAAAAATTATATCTCCTTCAGGAATACAGTTGGAAGTAGGGATTCTGTTGAGTGAAATAGGCCAAATTGGAAAGACAAGCATCCTGCTTTCTCTCTGAGGGAAAACAGATGTAGTGGAGAGCGAATGTGAGCAAACACATGATATGTGTGTAAGAAGACGTCATAATGAAACCCGCTGTTCTGTAAGCTCACTAAAATAAATAATTATATAAATAAAGAGTGGCGGTGGTGGCAGGATTGACTGGGGTGTAAGTGTCCTCCATGATGAGTAACTGCATCAGGCGTCTTGGCCGGCTCAGTGTGACCCAAGACCCTCTGGGTCCTTAGCTCATCTCTGCCGTGGCTGCAGCTGCAAGATGGACTCAGGGTCCGTTCCCACCAGCGGGCCTGGCAGGGTGTCGCGGGCATAGGCTGGCCAGGAGACAGGCTCTTCTTCAGCCACATCAGGACTGGGCCTCAGTCTCCAGACCACCAGCAGTTTTATTGGACCACCAAGTACACATACGTGGCGATTCTGAACTCGAGGGCCAATTTCTGCCATGCTCAGCACAGCGACTTCCCTGACACGTGAACCTGGGGCCGCCATGTACCACGCTCCAAGACTGGCCTCAGAAGAAACTGCAAATACATTTTTTTTAATGACGCCATTGAAATTAAGCACTGAGTAAACCAAGGTGGGAAACAACCTCCACTTTTGTCTCGCCGGTGTCTAAATGTTGGAAATGCTAGGTAAATTTTGTAAGTAGTTGGATGTTTTGGGAATCTCTTTTGGGAATCTGCAGACATTGAGGCCCAGGTTGAGTTTCGATTCACGTGGTTTCTAAATACTTCTGCAGATCTTGAAGAGAAGAAACACATTGAATAGAGAAAACTGATCAATAATAAGCATTTTGATGACCTTAATGTATTCATTTCCCCCATCATACCCACGAGCAAATGCACTCTTTCCTGTGCCACAATGAATCATGCACCGCCAGTGGAGATCTGCTATGAGAACATGTGTTTTCTGATAACTCACAACCCCACCAATGCCACCCTCCACAAGTTCACAGAGGAACTGAAGCACTATGCAGTCACAACATTGGTGAGAGTTTGTGATGCCACGTATGATAAATCTGTAGTTGAAAACCTAGGCATCCGGGTTCTAGACTGGCAATTCAAAGATGGAGCTCCACCTCCTGATGAGATAGTATACGATTGGCTGGACCTGTTAAAAACCAAATTCCGGGAGGAGCCGGGTTGTTGTGTTGCGGTACACTGTGAGACTGGGTTGGGAAGGGCACCTGTGCTGGTTGCACTTGCTTTGATTGAATGCGGAATGAAGAATGAAAATGCAATTCAGTTTATCAGACAAAAAAGAAGGGGAGCATTCAACACCAAACAACTGCTCTACCTGGAGCAATACCGGCCTAAAACGCGGTCAAGGTCAAGGCCATGCTTCAGAGATTCCTCTGTGCTTTGCTGTATTCAGTAGAAATACAAAGATTTATCCCGCTGTGTCATCTAGAGGAGACTCCTGGCATCTGGAAATGCAAGTCTTGGATCTTATGTGCGTCGTCATCTGTGAGTGGTGGATTCAACAACTAAATATTTCAAAACAAAACAAAAACAATAAAAACAGTAAAAAAAAACTATAAAATAAGTAAAATTTAAAAAGAGACAAAGGGGTATTAAAATGCACTTCAGAACAACAAGGAAGACCTGAGTCTCTGCAGCTTCGAGTCTGCTAAGATCATTCTTGCTCACACTTTCATCTGTTATGCTGAGACGCAGCCAAGAAGGCCTCACCAGAGGCTGAAAATGTAAGGTTACCTAGTCTTCATCTACAACTGTGTTCCAAATAAACCTCTTGATAAATTACCCAGCTGCAGACATTTTATTATAACAGAAAAATAACTAATTTTTTTTTGCCAAACCATATTTATCAAAATTTTATTTGGATTGAGGATATCCTCAGGGCTAAGTACTGTATATTAAATGACTGAAGTGTGTGTGTGTGTGTGTGTGTGTGTGTGTGTGTGTGTGTGTGTTTGTGGTGAGTGAACAAATAATTCATGACCTGATCTGCTATTGATATCGTGAATAAAAGTATTGCCTTGTCCTAAAAAGCATATTTATATGTATCATCTTAAAGAGACTATTTGATTTTTAAGATATTAAAATATTGGTCAGTTGCTGCAAAATGTGTACAGAAAATATAGAACTTTCTAGGAGTTGTTAGAGGAAACTTGTGGTTTAAAGGACAGAAGTTATTGAAAGTACATCCTAAACAGAAAACACTGAGGGCCATAATGTACCCAAGTTTGCACTGTTGGTGAAACATTTTCATTTGCTTGGTGGCTTAGGGAGTAGCAATTCAGGAACTACTTTAATAGTTTATGGAAATTAAATTGCTTTGTCCCTACCTAAAACTCTTCCTTAATTATACCTACTCCTAAGGTACTACTTTCTTATCCAGATAGCAATAAATTTACTTTGCCTCTTGCAATCAGAGTTTGGTACTATGAATTCCAGACCTGCTGTTGGTACTTGCATGCTGCTGGCTTCCTATTAGCTGCTGTACTGAGTGCTCTCATGGCATTTTTTTTTTTCTCTTTTTGAGACAGGGTGTCTCTGTAGCCCTAGCTTTACTGGAACTCACTATGTGGACCAGACTGGCCTTGAACTCACAGAGATCCACCTGCCTCTGCCTCCCGAGTGCTGGGATTAAAGGCGTGCACCACCATGCCTGGCCCTGCTCTTATAGTTTTAGTGCTAGGCATTCATCTGAAACTTAATGCTAACTCAGTTTTTCCCCTAATCAGTAACTGTACAACCAAGATATACCCCTCAAAGATTACTGTGAATCATTCCTGAACCCCAGGCAGCAGGTGGGAATGATGGCATGGCAGCATGAGACTATTGGTGAGAATAGTGACTTCAGAATTTTCTCCCCTCTAACTCCACAGTTTGGCCATTCGTCAACACTGCCTCCTCTTTGGACCATGACCACGTCGGCAGTTTAGCAAACTTTCTGAGGATCTGGCAGTGCCCATAATAATCATTGCTACAGAATCCTGTTGTCATTAGTTGAAGCTGCCTTTGATTCATTCTTTAGGCCAACCCCATCCTTGAGCTCAGACTGAAACATTTGGAGTTTTCCTTTTCCCTCAACCACCCCATCCTGTCAATCAAGAATCTTCCAGAAGATGCCCTATGCCTGGATTGATGGAATCACTTTCTGAATGCTTTCCTACCACCATCTTTGCCCCTTGAACTGTAATTCTTACAGAGTAGCAGGCCGTTTAAAATGTCATTTAGATCATGTTATTCTTGTGCTTAGGAACGTCAGTGATTTTTTTTTCTTTTTAATCTCAACTAAAACTCAATGCTTCCAAATGCTTCCATGTAGCAAGGCACTTTCGTATCTTAGACTCTTCTTAGAGCTGTCTCCTGACACACAGTGCTCTTCTCCATGTGCCCTCACCTCTTCAAGTGTATATGTATATCCCTGAAAGGAGCTTCATCTAGTCATGTTACTGAAACTGCTAGCTGTCCCTCTCCCTAACGCTTATTCCCTTTGCTCAGTTTTCTTATTCATAGCACTCAGCACCTTCCAACGTACAAAGTAATGTCCCCACTTATTTAAACAATTCTTTACTGTCTGTCATCTATTAAATGTGACATAAAGATGCTACATATTTTCAGCTTGGCCCAAAAGTCACTCCGTATCTAGTTTGATTACCTAACTTGAAATGTAAACAGTCTAGAACAGCCTAGTGTTGTCCCAGGTATTGGAATCTCAGTTAATCATAAGAGTAAACTGTTCAGTGTTCCAATAAGATGAGCTATAATCCATTAGGTTGCTAAACCTTCACTTCTACTTTCTGTGTAGCGGTTTCTTGCTCTGGATGGGGCATTCTGAACCATTTTTGGTCCAGGCTATTACTTAAGACAAAGTCAATTAAGATCTGCAAGCCCAGATTTGTAGGAACATTCTCCTCCCTATGTTTCTCTATGAGTCTGTCTCTCTCTGTCTCTGTCTCTGTCTCTGTCTCTCTCTCTCTCTGTCTGTCAGACTAGTTCATGCTCTGTAGTCCATGCTTATCTCAAACTTGTGAACCCCCCACCTCAGACTCCAACCTGGGAAGACAAGCCTGCACCGTCAATACCTTGTTATATTTTCCTGTTAGTTCTCTGTGGCCACAGACACCTTTTCAAAGCAAAGATACTTGGCTGTTTTGAACATTGATGTATCCTAAGCTCTTAAAGCCATGCCTGATTCTTGAATGAAATCATTCAAGACAGATGTGTAAACCAGTATGTGCTGGGTGAGCTGCATATAGAATTCTCAATGAGCGGAATGGATGGACTCTGAGTACAATGCTGATCTTGATCCTCTGACCTTGAATTCAAATTTACCCACTGGTGGATTTTTCAATCCTAGTAGTAAGCACACAGTAGCTTCCACATGCTTTATATTGCTTGTTGAAATAAGATTTAGCTATACTGCTGAAGCTGGCCTCAAACTTCTGGGCTCAAGCAATCCTCCTGCCTCAGACTCCCAAGTGCCTGGGACAGCTGCCAACTTGTGGAGCCTGGTGAACTTTCTAAGGTCTGTGCTGAGGTTTATGCATACACCATTTCACTGAATTATTACCACATCTCTGTAAGGTAGATAATATTAGCCCTATTTTACAAGTATCAAACTAAGGCTCAAGTAGGTTAAATTTGTTTAAATTACAAAATGCAAACCATTTGTGAATGGAATCTGAATTTGCCTAATTTGGAAGCCTATTCTTGTCCAACTAAAGTAAACGTTCTTCCTCTTCATACCAAATTCTTATATTTAGCAATTTTAGGTTCTGTTTGAGGATTTAAGGAAGGATCTGGATTTAGACTCTGAAAATTGAGGCTCTAGTAATTTATTCATGATGAAAATATGTCACTCAAGTTCTTACACCCCCTTACTTATACTTACTTATACTTCAAATGAGAACAAGAGGCTGGTCTGCATCTAGAAAGCGGACAGAAGAGAACTCATGGCTATGGGGTGAATTCTTACCCAACTTAAGATTTTAATTTTGATAAATGTATCTCACGGTGGCAAATATTAACATTTTTCCCAGAAAAGGAATAACCAAAAAAAGAATGCAGTCAATGAAAATGGGCCTGGGACACCACTGGACTGTCTAAGAAACTGGGCTAATGAAAACCCAACAATTCTTTCTTCCAGCAGGCAGGAAACCAAGTTCTCAGGGAAAATGACTGCACCCCCCATATTAGAGAGATATGAGGTCAATACAGAGATCACACTCCATAATCAGAGACTGCCACAGGGGTCAGGGCTGGAGCAAGGGAACCTGCATGCTGATGAGTTGTGGGAGACTTGGGAGTGGACGAGTCCAGAAGATGAAACCTTCAGGAGACAGCACTTCTGGGATCTCTACAGGGTTGTTGTTGTTGTTGTTTTGTTGCTGTTGTTGTTTTAATTTTACCTCTAGAAGCTCTCTCAGGCTTTCATGATAAATATCAGAGAAAAATCTGTTTGTGCATTGGGTATAGAAAGGGAAAGTGAGTCATTCTGAAGAACAGCAGAGCGGCATTCTGTTCTTAGGGCTGGTCTGAGCAAAGTTAACTTTACAGATCCTAGCATTTATCAGCACTGAGCTGCCTTGTGAGAAAAGAATATCTTCAACAGAGAAAGAAGCAAGGGTCTCTAATACCAACTTCTGTTCAAAATTCAGTCTTGAAACATAAATTGGCAAGTGATTATAATCTACAAGAAAGACAAAAATATATTTTGCTCTCAGCAGGTAAGAACACTTGCCACACAAGCCTGGTGATCTGAGTTCAAGCCCTGGAACTGACCGTGTACCTTCTTCATCTTCATACCTTGTGTGTCTGTTGCTGTAATAAAACACTGACCAAAACCAATTTGGGGAGCAAAGGGTTTATTTCAGCTTATAACTCTCAGGTCACAATCCAACACTGAGGGAAGTCAAGGAAGGGATTCAAGGCAGGAACCTGGAAGCAGGAACAGAAATACAGACATGGGGGAATGCTGCTCACTGGTTTTCTCCCCGGACTTGCTCAGGTACCTTTCTTCTAGAGCCCTGCCCACCTGCCCAGGGATGGCACCACCCACAGTGGTGGCCCTCCCACATCAAAGACCAATCAAAAAAAGTCCCACAGACATGACTACAGGCCAATCCAATGGTTCCCTCTTCCCAAATGTGTCTAGTTTGTGTCACATTGACAAAAACGGATCAGCAAATGTGTCATGCACACACCCCATGTGAAACAATAATAAGTTTTTTTAAATGTTCTATTTGATATTCAGAATCCTAGAAGATGTAGATATTAGAAATAATTAGAAAGAGTGTTGATTTGTTTAAATATCTAAAATTTCTTTGAAAAATTATGCTCTAAAGGAGACCTGTTGACTTCTTATAATAATTGTTTCCTGGTGAAGACAAAACAATCCCCAAAAAG